GGCGCAGCCGCCGCGGGCTGGCGCGTGGGCGTGTACCGCCCCGCCGAGCGCCGCTTCGGCCGCGGGCGAGGTCGACGGCGGTGGACGAGGGTGGCGGCGGCCATCCGCGTTACGCTGGACGACGGCCAGTGCCTGGACCTCGACCCCAACGAGCCTGGGATCAAGTGGACCTTTGCCCCGGGCATCACACTGGACGCGGAGAAGCTGGGCCGCAGGCGGGGCCCGGCGCCCGCCGCCGGCGATGCCGGTGCCTGGGATGCCGTGAGTCTGTGGGGGGCTTTGTGGGGCGGATGGGGTGGGGCAGACGGTGCGGGGGGGGTCCGACCTGTCGCGGTGCAAGCCCATGGCTGGGCTGTGTCCACTGCTGTTGACCCGTGCTCTCCTCCAGCCTTTTGGCCCTGAGTCGCTCGGGGATCCTCCCGACATGCGATCTCAGCAACTTTGCAGACCAGCCAGAACACCCCTTTCCTTGTCCTTCTCCACCGCATCTCCCCTCACCCCCGCCATGCAGGCCTCGCCCAGGGCATACCAGCGCAGCAGGTACACCCTGGCCCGCCCCTCGGCCTTCAGCCGGCGCCAGCAGTCACTGAGCAGGCTGGCGGTGGGAAGGGGCACTGGTTGTGCGTCCCCGGCGTCCCCCACGTGGCCCCTCTCCCCCGCCGCGGAGGCGGGCGCCGCGGCCCGCTGGGGCCCCGCCGAGGGCTCCGGGCCCCCCCGCGTCGTGCGCTGCGTGCAGGCCGGCTCGGTCGCCGCGCTGGGCACGCTGGGCCGGCTGTGCTCCACCGCCGTGGGAGGGGGGGCCGGCACGGGAACCCCGCGCGCCACCGACCTCCCCGTCCGCATCTACCTCTCCGCCTCCTCCTGCAGCGGGGACGAGGGAGCGCAGGCCACGCTGCGTGCTCTCTGCGGCCTCGCCCCGGCAGGGTCTGGCGCTGCCACGCATGGCCGAGGAGGGAGCGACAGCCCGAGCTCGCCGGAGCGCGGCGTCTCGCTGGGAGCCAGCCCCGGCGACTCGGCAGGCGGCCAGCCGGCGCAGCGCCCCTCCCCCTTTGCATCGCCTGGACAGCCTGCACTGGCGGGCTCTGACACGGAGGAGGAGGAGGAGGATGCCCTGGATCAGCTGAGGGTGGCAGGCCTCGTCAAGGAGGAGGAGGAGCTGCCGCAGGTCCTCCCCCAGATCCCTGTGGGTGCACGTTCTACCGCCGTCGCGTCCTGAAGGTGGCCACCTGCTGTATTGCATTGTAGTCTGGAAAACGTTGAAACGTTGAGGGATGGTAAATGAATCATTTTGAGGCACCGGTCATGCCTACTGATCACCTGCCAGAAGGGGCGTCGCGCGCGCGCGCGTTCCGGGGAATCCTGCTCTATGCCTATGAGGCTTGGCGCTCGGGAGTGGATCCCTCCTCTCACACTCACAAGGCAAGACCAAGCGTACTTATGGCAACCGATTAACAGTCTGTTGCCAACCGCTGGATCGGGGTGGAGGGCATGGCGGAGGAGGCCACGTCCACCTCCGGACGTCCCGATGCCTGCATCGCATACCACCAGGTGCGCATGCGAATGAAGTGACGAAAGTTGCGTGTCCAAAGGTGCCGCCTGCCGAATCTACATTGCCTAACGGCGCTCCACCCCCCCCCCCCCCTCCACCTATGTTCAGTACCGGAATGAGGAGGACATGCGCACGGTGGGTCGGGTCCTGGAGGAGGACGCCGAGCAGGGATCCCCCTGGCGCTGCCTGGGACCCCACCTCAGCAATCAGCACCCACCAATGTCGCAGGTCATGGGCCTGGTGGACGCGGAATTGAGCGAGCCCTATTCCATCTTCACCTACCGCTACTTCCTACGCTCCTGGCCCCAGCTCTGCTTCCTGGCCCGCGATGGCGACCGTTGCTTCGGCGCCATCGTGGCCAAGCTGGAGCGCCACCGCGACGCCCTGTACCGCGGCTACATTGCCATGCTGGTGGTGGAGAAGCCGTACCGCGTGCTGGGCGTGGGTGAGATGACGAGTTTTGGTGCAGGGGTGGGGACTTGAATGAACAGTTGGAGCCCAGCTGTTCCCACGGTCCCTCTGCGGCGGCGCCCTTCGTGGCCACCACTGCATCGGACGCTGTCAGCCTTCCAAAACAATCGCAGGGAGCCAGCTGGTGCGCTGCGTCATCCAGACCCTGCAGGGAATGGGGTGCGAGGAGGTGGCGCTGGAGGCAGAGGTCACCAATGTGGGCGCCCTCCGCCTCTACGAGCGTCTTGGCTTTGTGCGCGACAAGCGGCTCAAGCGGTGGGCGCGCGGTGACCCGGCGGGTCGATAGCTGGGATCAGGGAGAGGGAATCACTGTGTTTGCTGGAGATTGGTCCCTGCGACCTGCACACAGCGTGCCGCAATGAAGAGCAAGCAGGCTTGTGGCCCACTGGGATCTTGGGGGCCCAAGAGGGTCGAGTGGTGTGCATGCCTGAGGACACATGCGGGCCGCCCCCCCTCCCCCCCCGAAGGACAGCGATGCTGCAGCAGCGTCACACCGTGTGCCTGCCCTCATTCACTTGCAGGTACTACTTGAATGGCAGCGATGCCTTCCGCCTGAAGCTGTTGCTCCCCCTTGCCTCAGAGGATGCAGCAGCGGCGCAGCAGTTGGATGCCCTCTCGCTTACTCAGGCGCCATATACACCGTGAGGAGGCGAGTTGTCTCGATCCCAAGCCATCAGCCCTGCCTGAACCTTGGAGGGTATACCCATTCCTGTCATGTTACAGTGACCTGCCAGGGTGGCAGTTGTTGTGGTGATCAGGGGAAACAGACAGGGGCATCACGCGGCTTTCTTGTCAGAGTAGACCCACAACAACAGGGCAGCGGTGATGGGAGGCACGGTGACGAAGGAGAGTGCCAGACCCGTGTTGGGATGCATCAGGGTGTCACTGAGGAGGCTCCCATACTTGACGACCGCGCCACCTGGGGGTAGAGTGACCACGATGGAGGCCCTGCTCTGAAGCTGAAGGGTCAGCCTGGCGACATGCACGGCAGGGCAAGCGAGTCCTCCAGGGATACCTGCAACCGCGCCACTCAGGAAGCGTGTGACCAGGCCCCGTTCGTCGGGGGTGAGGGCCCTTGCCCCGTCTTGTAATGATTGCCCCACACTCTGGCCGCCCTCCTCCCGACGTGCGCGCACGCACCCCGATGCCGCCCGGGATCGAGGATGCTGTCTCAAAGGTTGCAATGGATTTTTGTAGCCAGGCGTGAACGCCGGTCCAGAGTGGCATGCTTGCATGGTACCGAAGCTGACGGTAATGTCTCGGGGTTGTGCTATCGGAGGATTTTTGTATCGCGTAGGGTCGATTCTGACTGCAGCCAGGTCTCACCCAAGGCGCCCATGCCAACTTGCACATGCGCCATGTTTATTACATCCATTATACTGTACACATCATGTTTAAGCTCGACTATCCGTGCGACGAGGCCGAGAAAAGGGACCGGTCAACTCTCCATACTCCGGGCCTCACGGGGGCCTGTGGAGACTTGGCGTCTGAGTATCCTCCCCTGAACGGTCCGTCGCCCCATAACAGCCCAGCCCACAGAGGTCTGTGCCCGGATCTTCTTGACTCTGCATATGAAAAGACACTTGATGGTACAACACCGGCACGTTGGTCAAAACCAGAGGTGAGGGCATGTTGGTATGTGTGGGGCAGTGGTTGATTCCGGGAGGGCGGGGGCATGACATGGGATGAACCTGGCTGCTTGCCCATGTGGGTTGGGATTCGTGGCAGTCGCCAGGTCAGTTGGTCAGTCAGGCGGGTCAGGCTTGTGTCAGCATGGGGCAAGAGCTGCGGAGTTCAGGGGAAAACAATTCCAGGAGGGGTCGGAAGCGAGCTACTACTGGGGCAGAGGAATTCGTCCGCGCCCAGTCACCAGCATGGGTCAGAGGGTTAGTGGGGAGGGGCTTGAGATGCCGCGACAAAGGAACAGAGGGGTGAAACCAGCCAGCACAGGCACTGGCTTCCAAAACATCCATATAGGCAAGGTTGGCGCTCAGCATAAGGGTATTTGGGGGGGAGGGAGGGGGGGAAAGAGAACAGAACATGGTACAGGGGGTGGGGGTGAGCGTCAGGCCTCCCCCCAGAGCTTGGGGCAGTTGGAAGAGCCAAGCGCTTTTATTTTCGGTGCACCCGGGGGAACACAGTACACCCGAGTGGGGATGAGCTGGTGCTGTGGTGTGCGTGGGCTCTCCGCGCCGTCGGGCTCCTGAAACAGCCCACCAGGAGCTACCCAATTTTTCACTCGAACTTTTGGGAGAAGTGAGAGTCCCGCCAACCCTCCGTCACCTCGTTTCTCGACCATCATGCCCTGCGAGGGTACGGGCGCGCTGGGTTGTCAGCCCCCCGTAAGGTCAGCTCGACACGCCGGCCCAGTCGCGCCTAGGCAAAGGCAAATCCCAGGAGTCACACCGCCGTCTCGTTCGGTCTGGGCAATTGCAACCCCGAAAGCCAGGGCGACTGCAGTGCCGAAACACACCTGAGTTGTCGCAAGTTGTCCCGGGTCGGAAGGGCAGCCGTGTCGCACACTTTAGAATCCCTCCACGGGGCATATACTCATCCAGCCTCCAAGATCCAGCGGTGTGCAGTCCTAACTGGGTTGTTTCCGACTTGAGAGGCAGGGAGATACACCCGAGCCCGGGGTCAAATACAACGGCTTCCGGGGGGAAATATCTCGGCAAGCGTGGGGAGCGGGCCGTTCCCGATGCCCCTCGCTGCCATTCGCTGCCCCTGTACGTCCACTCTGGCTGTGGGACCATGGTACATTCAAAGCGGTGGCAGGAAAAGAGCATCGCTGCGCAGTGGGATTCCATCCCGGTCCGCTCCGGTTGTGTAAAGCATCATTCAGAGCAGCTCCTCGGGTCCGATGCCCCGCTGGCACACCGGACAGGCCCCTCGCGAGCGCAGCCAGCGATCGATGCAGCGGGTGTGGAATGCATGCCCACAGGGCAGCCGCTTCAGCCTAGTGCCCGGGCTTACATCCTCCAGGCATACCACGCACCTTCCCACCTCGGCGGCGGCCTCACGCGAGAGCCGCTCCACCGGCAAGGCACGTATGCTGGCCGCGTCGGCCCCCCGCCGATCCTCCAGGCCCTCGTCCAGCGCTCTCAGGGCCTCGTAATCGTCCGCAGTGAAGTCGCGATCGCTGCAGCATGGGTGGATGTGTGGGGGGCGGTCGGGCAGCGATGAAGAACTGACTGGCTATGACAGCATCGCAGCGACGGTGCTGCAGCTGGTGCCGCTCCCGCGAGGAAGTGTGGGAGGCATCCTGGCCAGGCAGTGCACCCACCTAACCCCCTCACCTCAGCAGGAGGTGGGCAGGGAGTCCCCCCCCCCTGCCCCTGCCGCCGCCCGCCGATCCCATGCGCTGGGCCATCATCAACAGGGCCAGGGGTCCGGCGGCGGGGGCGGCCGCACCGGCCCACCGACCTCCGCCCGCCATCTCCTCGGACAGCAGGCTCAGCACCCGTTCTAGCCAGTCGTAGCGCACGGAGGCCTGCTGGACCTGCTCGGCGCCGGGGCTCCACCACTCCGGCGCCGGCGGGAAGATGCTGGGGGCGTGCCCTGTCGTCCCCAGCTCCTCCTGCTCCGCCAGCGCATCCATGCGCGCAAAGAGAAGCTCGTCGCGGACCAGAGCACAGGCCTCCTCCTCCTCCTGGAATGGGTGGGGTTGGGGGGTGGGGCGGCGAGGTGGGCACCCGGGGGAGCAAGCCATCGCTGGAGAGACAGGCACCACCGGCCTGAGTGGCACCCTCGAGGTTGCCTGCCCTCACAGCAACTGCACCTGGAAGCTGCGGGCGAGCGCCGCATCCTGCGCCTGTTGGGCGCTGGAGACGTTGCGTGGGCGCGTCGGGTTGGAGGAGCGCGGCTGGGTGGGCGGCCGGGCCCGCTGGCGCCTGGGAGGGGTGGTCAGGTCCAGGCTCTCCTCCTCCAGCTCGCCCCAGAGCGGGGCTCGAGGAGCCGGGACCTCGGCCAGCACCGTCACCTCGGATGGACCTGCACAGGATTGGGTAATAGGATCAATGCCAGTCCAATGCATTGGTGGCGGTAGCGCAGGTGTAAAAGCTCCTGGGTCGCTCACTCCGAGGGGAGGGTGCCGCGAGGTCCACGCTCCCGGCATCGCCGACCCGGCTTCGACGACGCTTGCGTGCAGTGCCCGTCCCGCTCGTGCTGGCGCCCGAACTGGGCCCTGCGCTCCTACCCTCCCCCTCCATTCACAGGGGCGGTGCGAATCCTGCGACCCCTTCCGCCGAGGTGGGGAGCCCCTCGTCGCCCTGGCGAGAGGAGACAGCCGGCGATGCTGCAGAGACCAGGGAGCTGGAGATGAATGACAGGCCTTATGTTTGAAGGCGTGAAGTTGCCCCGTGAAACCTTGGAAGGGATCCGCTCCTCCTCCATTACGATGGGCGATCCAGAGCGGTCTTTCTCCCTAGCTGCCACGAGGGAGCCTGTCACGCTCTGGAGCCGTACAGAAAGGTACACACGGGTATGGCTATGCACATGGAGAACGTGCATCTTGGTACAGGAGACAAGCGGCGATTGGGAAAAGAATGTTCGCGGGCCGCTAGCAGATCACGCACTCGCCGGGGCCCACCAGGCCCCGCCCGCCCTCCCCCGCCGCCGCCTGGCGCATCATGGACTGCAGGACCTGGGCGGACACCATGTAGGAGCGGGAGTAGCGCGACCCCTGCTCCTCGGCGTTGCGCGCCATGAGGATGCTGGCGGCGGCGCCGAGGGCGGCGGGTTCGCCCGCCTGCACACCCCACACCTTGACATCCGAGTCGATGCCGCTGGAGGCCAGGACATGGGGGAGCGTCGGGTGGGGGGCCAGGCAATTGACGATGTGGCGGTCGCCCTGCGCAGTAGCAGTCATGGGGGGGGTTGGGGTGGAAAGGCCGTGCGCAGGGGTCTCCTCGTCCCCGAAATCTCGATGTTCAGGCTCCAGGACGGGGGCCCCATGCTCCCACTCGACAACAGCACATGTGCAAAGCAAACAGCCCCATTCATCAAGACAGAGGGCCCCCCCCCCCTCACCGCACCTCTAGCAGCGCCACCAGCTTGCCTCCCTCCCGCTCCCAGATGAAGATGTGGCCGTCGTCGCTGCCCGACAGCACCCACTCATCGTCCGGCCCCAGGAAACTCACGCCCTTGACCGTCTGGGCATTGCGGTGGCCTGGGGTGAATGGCAGGGGTGTGGGCGGGAGTGTGGTAGATGTGCACGCTGACGGGAGGTGTGCTTGTTGAGCAGAAGAACCCAGGCGCGGGCTGGCCTCCCTGAGTACGTCTACCCTCTCCGCTCCGCCCAGGCAGCAGGGGCGGGGGCTGGGCGGGGGCCACCGCATTTGCAGCTGCACCGTCCAACCGTGCACCAGTCCCCAGGAGGTGTCAAGAGGCAACTGGAACTGGAGGTGTGCACACAGCCTCCCGCCTGTTTTGACCTCTTCCCCAGAGTCCAGGCCCCCCCGGCGTTGCACCCTCCGCGCCTCCCCCTCACCTCGATACGCCTGCAGGACGTTTGTGGACCAGGTGGCGCGCTGCAGGGTCGACCAGGATGCGCCGGCATGCGCGGGGCCAGGCGCGGCAGCGCCGGCGCCGGCGCCGGCGCTCGGCCCACCCTCCCGCCCGGCCTCTGCGTCGCTCCCCGACCCGGCTGTCCCCTCCCATTCGTCGCCGGAGGAGGAGGAGGACAGGGCGGCGGTGGACGCGCGCAGCTCCTCCGCCATGGCCCGCCACGCGGCGAGCTCGGCGCCCCGCCCCGCGGCGCCCCCCTCGCCATCCTCCTCCCCCTCCGACCCCTCCAGCACCAGCTCCACGCGCCCCCCTGTGGCGTCCAGCGCGCGGAGCACGTCGGCCGCTGCGGTCACCGTGACCTCGTGCAGCTCGTCCGCGAGGGTGGCGGCTGGCGGGTCGATGGGAGGCGTCGCGTCGCGGGCG